GACTCAGAGACAGAACTTAATGCAGAAGCTCAGGAGAGCTTACTTGTCTTCTGTTCCACTTATGGAACCGGGACTTTTGTCTTTTGCGATCGAAGGAGGGGTAGCAATTACTAGACCAATCCCGGAGGTTAGCTACCTTTTGACTACCTATGCCCGCACTCATGCGGTTGTTCTGCGTCTTCCGGAAGTGGTAACGGGTTGGTYGCGAAGCATGAAGAAGGCGTGGYTGGKGGCATGCGAAGATCTCTGGCTTATGGGGAGGGGACCCTGGAGGGGAAGGATCGATGTTGAAGGCGCATTGRCYCTCGTCTACACAGCGCCTAYGACAGAGCTAAGGGATTGGTTGCTGAATGAAAGGAAACTTGAGACGATCAAAGTTGGAGGTGAGATCTTGGATGTCTCCATTAAAGCATGGAGGTCGCCGACGGAGATTGAATTTCAACGTGGGGAAGAACGTCGGCGATGGCCATGGGTGAAGGTCTTTGCGACTCCAACTAACGTGGCGCCGTTGGTGCGCCCAACAGTGGAACAATTTTTCGGCGAGATAGTTTGCTCATCAAAACATGCAGACGACGACCGGGAATATGAGAAGTTTGTAATCAAAGGGCCGTTAAAACCGAACGTCACGAAAGTGGGAGTGGCTACGGGCCCCTCCACTGTACACGATCTTCGCTATGTTACTAGCGAAACTCCATTTTGTGAGATTTGCTACACGCACGGCCACTTGGGAAAGGAGGGGCGATGCCTATCCAGAACAGAAACGGCTAGGGAATTACAGGAGAAAGAGATGCGAAGGAGATTGGATCCTATTCTAACCTCGAATTTTGCCGAAGAACAGAGGATGTGGAGTGAGGTGGAACTCAAATTTGATAAGGAGATTGTTTTGGAGGCAAGGACGGAGCAAGTCTCTAAAAATCAAATGGGAAGGGGCGACAAAGAAGGAAGGACGAGTGAGAGAAGGGAGAGAAGTTCTAGGAGAAACCGTCCAGCAACTTCTTATGATCGCATGGACGTTGACGACATCAACCCGCGATGGCTCTTTGGGGACGACAAACGCAAGTATCGAGAAGGCTCGCACGATGAAGAAGGAAGGGACAAACGGCAGTGCAGCTCGGCGAACCCAACTACTGTCATCAATGAAGAGCGACCGCAAGACAAGCATATCGACCCAGCTTCTCACTCGAAAGATGGGCAAAACGTTAACGCAGACCAAGAGAAGGAAGCTGACGAAGACTCACAAGGCGAACCACTCATTGACAGGCGACAAAAGGGGAAAGAGGAGCAGCTTAACATGGGCTGTGACAAAGGGGTGCAAACCGAAGACATTCACGAGACATTTGCTGAACAGGAAGTGGGAGTGGACGGAGCTGGTGCAAGCGCTGCGGACCACACTACCCAGGAAGTGGGCGAAGCGAGTGGTTTGCATACCGAAGCTGAACCTGCACGCCAAACGGTGGAGCCGGAACAAGGAACTACCGTTGATGTCCGCGGCCAGGAAGAGAAGTACCACGGCAAACAGTCTACAACCAAGGAAACGCTTGAAGGTGAACAGTCTCCAGCCAAGGTAACGCGTGAAGATTCGGATATTCAGCGTAATATTGCTCGCAACGAAACACAGGAGGGAGAGGAATTAACTCTCAACGTTGGGAATGAGGCTCAGAACGATGGTGGTACTCATGAAATAGCGAATGACCACTTCCAAGACAAGGACGCAGAAGAAAGCCCGGGCACAGCAGAATTGGAGGTGGAAAAACAAGAGGAAGAACAAATGCAGAGAGAAATCATGCTGCCCCCTCCCCACCCCCCCCCTCTCCCGGGTGATGATCAAAGGACAAACGAGGTAAATGGGGGTGCACCCCCTCATCCAGCGGAAGGTATTATTGAAGTGAGCGAAGATACATGTATTACGAGGGGAGGAGGAATTCCACAAGGCGTGAGTGAAGAAGAGAAGGGAAGGGTTGATCAAACACGCCAGAGGAGAAAGAAGAAGCAATTGGCGTCCCGGCCATCATCGACTGCTGAAAATGCTATGGAGGAAGGCCAGTCAGAAGAGACCCCCATAGGTGCTGTGCCAAGAGAATGGGAACGATCTCCTTTGCCGAGGCATCCACCACCAATCGACCGCCCCACTAGGCGACGCTTTGTGTCCTCGGAGAGAAGGACGTTGGACCTGCTATCTCGACAATCCGGACAGAGAAAGGGGAAGGGTAAACAATGCCCGACCCCGGACCCCTGTCCGTACGATCTAAGTTCGGGTCCGGGGGATTCATTAAGACCAGATGACGGGGGCGATGGAGGTGCCAACGTAATCCCTGAGATGGAGAGGGACGACATTGACATGGGCTATCTCGTCCAAGATTCAGAAGAAGAGGCTGACGAGGCGTCCCAACAGAGGGACCCTTCTTTCATGACGACGGATCGAGGGGGGTCCCCGTACAAAGCGACGGTCCAAAGCTCACTCCAAGCGGTGATGGCAGCGGGCGAATGCCATGTCTGCCCGATTATCCTGTGGTGGTCGGACCCGGAGATTTTGGTTCTCACTAAGGGCACGGACCGGTTCTTCACGTTTACTTCCAAGGAACTTCCCCGCAATTCGAGCATCAGCCGTCAGGTTAACAGATGGGTGGGATCGCACTTTAATGTCAGAATACTTCCAAAAGTCTCGATTGGTCACTTCTTCCGTCGTCCCCCCCAAGGACCCGAGTATGGACTGTGTATCTATTTCGTGGCAGCAGAATCAAAGAAGGTAGGATTCCCTCAACAGGCGCACAGAGACGCCATGTGGACAAAATTTTCGTTAATTTTCGGCCCTGATGCCAGCCCGCGAGACTACACGATTGTCAAAGAGTTCTCGGCAGGCATCCTGCAGCGCCTCAATTGCAGAATCCCTCCGGAACAGAAGATCGGTTCTTCAAACTTTTGCTCGGCGACTAGTTGGTGGAGTTAGAGTATTTAGAGTAATTAGGTAGGCGGAATTAGAGTTACTAGATTGATAACATAGAGTAGGATCACGTTCAAATTTAGGATTTTATTAGGAATAGTATATTCTGGGATATGGTGACCTACGTAAAATGGACAGTAGGCACCACGACTATAATTAGTAGTTAAGATATGGATTATAATGCCCCTGAGATTAAGTACTTTCCCGACGCTTATTTTTTTGTGTGTGTTTTCTTTCTTCTGATTTCTTCAGACTTGTTTACAGTGCAGTGTTTGAGCGGTTTCATTCGCAATTGCTCGTAGTGACGTTTTTTCTATCCTGTTTTTTTCAGCGATTTCTTTCGCAGTTGCTCGTAGTGACGTTTTTTCTAATCTTCTTTTTTAGAATAATTTCTGTGTACAATAGTTTCCTTGGTCTCCCCGTGGTTTTCTCTCTTTTCTTTTTTTTTGATTGACTTTACAATCGCACAGTGTACATTCTCGCTCGTTTTGTGTACATCCTCATTGCCCTTTTGGGCGTATAGTGTATATTAGCATTTAGTTCTCCTTACCCTGACTTTTTTTGTGTGTATTTGCCCTATCTTGAACATGCTCTTTTATACTACTTTTACTTTCATTCTTAGAACTATTTCTAAGTTTTTGACGGATCCACGTCAGTAAATCGATATGGGATCGCGGTCCAAATTAGGCCATCTGAATGTTCTTACTTGGAATGTTAAAGGTTTATCTACTCGCTCACTGAACCCGAAGAGGTGGGAACTGCAGAGAACTGTACGCCGACTTCAGATTTATGTTGTTTGTTTGCAAGAAACCAAACTAGGGGAGGGTCTYTGTGCATCTGATGCACCATGGTGGAAAGGTTTCCAGGTATGGGCCCCGGCACAGGGGCAACAAGGTCAGGGCACTTCAGGTGGGGTGGCTGTTCTTGTCTCTCCGAAATATCGAGGACAAGTAATTGACTGGAACTTCGACTTCGGGGGACGATGGGCTTGGGTCATACTTCAATGGGGCCAACGCAGGTGGTGTGTGGCCACGGTGTATGGTCCCTTAGACCTTAGGGAACGTAGAGAACTCTGGGAAACCTTCGAGAGAGTGCTCCCGGAGGTGGATGATTTGGTAATTGGAGGAGATTTTAACACCACCATTTGCCCAGGTTTAGACTCGCTGACGGTGSGGGACCCCACACCGGACTCGGGTGCACTGCAATCTGCCATGGCCCAACTCGGATGTGTGGACACTTATCGTTCGCTCAATCCGAATGGGAGGGAATTCACATGGCAAGGCCCGACTGCAGATAGAAGAAGCCGTATTGATATGATCTGGGTTTCTCTATCTATTTACAGAGTGGGCTGTGAAGTGAGACTGTTGCCCACCGCCTTATCGGACCACCGTATGCTCTTCACCTTCCTCCCAGTAGGCGATATAGAAATGGGACGTCCCCCTCCTTCTTTCCCTGCCTGGGTCTTCAAAAGCCCAGAATACCGGCCCCTTATTAGTCAACACTGGGTTACCTGGATGGAATCCAAACCAGATCAAACAGACGACTTGGACTGGATTCTGCAAGGGCAGCAGTTCCTGCGTGCCTGTCTACTGAAACGGCTAGCACAGAGTTATAGGGCGCACTTGGCGACCGGGCAGGAATACGTCTCTCGGATGGAACAACTGAATGAAGGACCGAAAGATGGCCAAGGGGAGGAGGAGTGGTGGGCTGAAAGGTTGGAAGCCAATCGGCTGTGGAAGGAATGGGCGATTAACGAAGCAGTGAGATGGTGTCGTAAATCCAAGGTTAGATGGATTGCGATGGGCGAAAGGATGTTTAAGCGCTTTTTCAGGGAACTGGGAGCTAAGAGAGGCATTGCCACCATGTCAGCAATGGATCATCCATTTAATAACTCCATTGCCCGCCAAGAATCTACTCAAGGTATTCTGGGATGCGTGGTGGACTTCTACTCAGACTTATTTACTGAGGAAGAACAGTGGGCTACGCAGGCTATGGAAACAGAACCACAGAACCAGATCTGGAGCAACATCACTGCTAAACTTGCAGACCAAGAGTCTGCAACTCTGGAATTGAATATCTCAGTAGACGAAGTCAGTCAGGCCATTACGGCCCTACCCAGACTGCGGGCTCCGGGTATTGATGGGATTCCTATCGAAATGTTCAAGGAADCCCGCCTCTTCTTTGCTCCTCTGCTTGCTGCGGCATTTAATCAAGCTTTTTGTAATGATCGCCTTCCTGTAGGATTCGCAGACGCCTTCATTATCCTTCTCTATAAGAAAGGAGTAAGAGAGGACGTCTGCAATTGGCGCCCAATTACGATTTTAAATATCATTTATAAAGTGTTGGCGAAAATTCTGTCTGATAGGATAGGTAAGGTCCTCCCTAGCATCATTCACCCCTCACAGACGGGGTTTGTCCCTGGCAAACAGATTGTCTCCAACATTATGTGCGCCCGTCAAATTCTGTAGCAAGCCGACCTCGACGACCAAAAGCTGGCCTTTGTCACCATTGACCTTGAAAAGGCCTACGACCGGGTAAGGTGGGAGTTTCTCCTCCAATGTATGATGAAAAGGGAGATTGGGCCAGTTTTCTGCAAATGGACTCGACTGTTGTTAAGCAATGCTGGTACATTTATGCAGGTGAATGGTGTTCGATCGAATCGCATTCCCCTTACCCGGTCGGTGAGACAGGGATGCCCTCTGTCCCCTGCCCKCTACGTCATCTACGTTGAATCTCTGCRTGATGTTCTCAGAGCAGACCACCAACTCCGAGGTYTGGAGATGACCCCCGATTCATCTCTCAAGTCGACGGCCTTCGCGGATGACACAGGGGCCATCATCCCTGCGGAGGTKGACCAGCTAAGGAGATTACAGACGGACCTTGAGMTGTTTGCCAGATTCTCGGGGGCTCGGGTTAACWGGCAAAAATCAGAGGCTATCCTACCAAAGGATTACGCTACCCCCGAGGGCTGGGACATACCTACTTGGAATGACAATGACAACCTGAGTTTTCTGGGTGCCATTGTCATTCCCGATGAGGGAGGCACCTGTCAAATGGAATCCTTGGCGA